TAAAGGATATCAATTTTATGTTTTATTCATAGATGCCTATTCCAAAATCTCATGGATTTATCTTCTTACAAAGAAATCGAATGTCTTTGATATTTTTCTTAAATTTAAACGCCATGTGGAGACTATTTTCTACCAAAATCAAGATGTTTTAGAGTGATTTCGTAGTCTTTCTCTCTATCTAGATGATGAAGGCATTACTCATCGCCTTAGTTGTCCTTATACACATGAACAAAATGTAGTGTTGAACGAAAGCATCGGCATGTTATTGAGTCCACATTATCTCTACTAGTATCCTCATCTCCCCCTCAGTCATTCTAAGTAGACGCAACTGGGACTATAGTGTTTCTCATAAATCAGCTACCCACTCTAGGCCTTGGTAATCTCTTTCCTTATGAAAAGTTATTTGTGAAACCCCCAAATTATTCTATATTGAAAGTGTTTGATTGTAGAATCATTGCTACAATCCTGTTACGGGATAAGAAATTATTGCATGATATGTTATTTTTTATAAGCACTCATTCCCATGGATCTTACTATCATCACTGCCTATTATCTCTTCTGGCTCCATTGGCTTGGTTCTCCCTCCTGTAGAAATACGGTACCCCCCTTACCATCTATTAATCTTACTAATGAAGAGTTCGCTTCCTCCCTTGTCTCAAAATAGGCAGTTTCTACAAGTTCTAACCCCTTACCAGTTTAGCGTACTAGGGCTCTTTAGAAGCTATTGGACACCACTCCAGTTGCCAATCTTCCTACTGGCCACACTCATTCCAAGGACATGAGGTCTATGACATCTCACTCTACTCATGCATTAACAATTACTCGACACCCTCTACCATCTGAATTGCTCCATGATGTCGTTAATCATGAGGTTGAGCCATCCTCATATGAACAAGCCTTTAAGTCTGCTAGATCATTGGCGCTTGGCTATGGTTGCTAAATTTCATGCGTTATTGCAAAATGGTGCTTGGGAGCTGATCCCGTATGGCTCTTCTATGAACGTTGTTGGCTCGAAGTGGATTTTCATAATCAAAAGCAACCTAGATGGGTTGATTGGTCGCTACAAGGCTCGCCTTATCGCTCAAGGCTTCACTCAGGTTCTTGGAGTTGACTTCACAAATACCTCCATCCATGTGGTCAAACCCACTACAGTTTGAGGTATCTCAAAGGGACTATTGATTACGGGTTCCACTTCACTACACATTTCTGTGGGTCATTGATTGCTTTCTCTAATGTTGACTAGGTTGGTTGTCCGGATGATCGATGCTCTACTAGGGCTTATGGCATTTTCCTTGGTTCTCATCTGGTGTTAAGGAGTGCTACGAAATAACCTACTATTGCACATTCTAGTACGGAGGTTGAGTTTCGGGTGTTAGCTAACGCTATTACAGAGTTAATGTGGCTACAATCTCTTCTCTCTGATTTGAGTGTTGTACCCTCATCTCCTCCTATGATCTATTGTGGTAATGTTGGAGCTATGTATCTTGCATCTCATCCTATCTTTCATGCATGTACCAAACACATTGAGATTGATTTTCATTTTCTACACGATCTCATTTAAGAAAAAATCTCTCATGGTTCTATACCTATCCACTCAAGCTCAAATTGCAGATCGTTTCACCAAGACTTTCTCTTCTCAGTGCCTTAAGTGGTTTCAGTCCAAGCTTCATGTGCTTCCAACCCATTTTTGTTTAAGGGGGCATATTAAGGAATCAACTAGCTCCAACTCTCTTATTATGGCTAGGTCTCATATTGAAAATAGAGTGGCTACTATAGAAAGATCAGCTAGCCTAAAGAGGAAACTCTCCTCTTATACCAGTTAGACTATTGCCTTGTTTATATATTTCCATCTCTTATTTATCTTCCAAATTTATTTATTATTATTTTGTACATAAATACCTTGTACACTTAAATCAATAATGAGAATTTCAACCCATTCTTTTCTCCCATTCTTTTTCTCTCTTCTCTCTAAGTTTAATCAAGGAACAAAGACAACCCTTGTAGAGAAGTAATCCACAGCTAAATGTGTCCTAGAGGCAAAAAAAAGAAAAAAAAAAAACCTTGGTCTTCTTCTTTTTCTCTTTCTCAGATCTCTTAAAACAGATATAAAGGAAAAGAACCCACCAAGGATATAATACCTCCTTAGTGCTTGTTACCAAACATCTCATATTCCATAACTTAAATTGTAAAATGCATTTTCCTAAATTACCCCTCTCAAAAGAAAGAAAAGACCACTCATGTACATGTGAAAACGGTGATTTTATATCACCCACACAATAAAATAAAGGGTAAATTACAAAGACCCCCCCTCTACTATGGGGTCTATGATAAAGACCCCCCTGTACTTTATTTTGCAACAAAGACTTTCTTATACTATGACCGTGAGACAAAGACCCCTTTTGTTAGTTTTCCGTTAAAGTCGGTTACAATATTTTTTAATCCCCATAGTACCCTGTAATAATTATTCCAACAACTGCAAAAAACACTTCATCTTCCCTCACCTTGTGCGGTAATCCCCTCAAATTCCTTCACAATTCTCTCTCTCTCCCTTCTATCTCCTTCCCCTTCCCCGACCTCCGGGGAAGAAAACGAAGAAGCGCCAGACATCGTTTCCCTCAACGAATTCTCCCCGAAAAGAAGCTCAAATTCACCAGATGAATTGGAATCGTTAGTTATGTTCCCCGAAGATGGCTTTTTCGCACTTTCCATCACGCTCTGGGACTGGGTTCCAGATTCGGCTGTTTTGACAAGAGATGATGTATTCGTACTAGTAGCTTTGGTACAAGGAGATAGCCATTTCGCTTTCATGTATTCAACTTTCCTCCAGGGCGGGAAGTGCATTCCTTTCTTCTTTAGGCTTTGTCTAGCTTTATCTAAGACAATCGAGATGATCTATTGGAGACGGTCAGCTTTGCCCACGAAGATGATTGGAATAACTTGGAGGACGGCCTTGTGGGTTCCAATCGAACAGGCGATCTCGAATTCCGATCTGAAATCTATGTCGATCAGCAATCGTTCACCATCAACAATCGCTACTATGTATCCGTATAATATCTCCTGTAAAAATACCATATTATAGATGTAACTTGGATTAGAAAAATTTAGGGAGCAAGAGAAAAGTACCGGCCGGATAAGATTGGGGATTTCTCCCAACATGATTTACAGATTGAGGCATCGTAGCCGAGAGCTACAAGACCATCAGCTACGACCTTTCTGCAATCGTCTTTACGCTTGCAGCTCTTATTCTTCTCTAAGACTTTGTAATGTCAGTTAAAAGATTTCTCTCGGCAACACTCGCACAAGGGACCAAACTCTGTACAAGAAAGGGACGACTCAACAAAGACATTGGAGACGTCAAATTCATCATTTGAACTATCACTACAGTTTCCGTGGAAACAATTGCATCGATTCCGTCCGCATTTGGCCGCCGACAAATGTTTCTCATTGTTCTCTTCGATGAAGTTCCGAACCATTTTGTCCAAAGCACACAGAGCTTGGCTCCCAATCATTGTTATTAGCATCTTTGCTGTACTGCTGTTCACCGGCGCCGGGCTTCTCAGTTGACGAAATCCTTAGGACACTCGGGAACTGCCGCTCCAAAGCCTCTTGAGGCGTGATTTCACTATAGGTTTAACTGGATCGCTCCGAATCGATTCTTCAACTAAGTGAGAATATATTGGCTGGATTTTGAAAGGAGGCATAATTAAGAAGACCAGAATCAAAGCAACACCCTCTAAGAGCTGCTCTCCATTTTCGGAAATTCCGAAATGAAGGTCAAATCAAGAGCTTCTCTATCCTACCACTCAATCCTAAAAGCTTAGAGCTTAGACTAATCTGAACTACGAAGTGGAGGAGCAAGAAAAAAGATCACAATTGACGAGTAGAACACAAAATCAGGTATTCTATTCCTAACATCTACCTCCTTGTTTGAGCTAAGAAGAGATTGGATTAAAGGTCGCAAAAAGGTTTCGTAATTAACCAACGCATCTGATATACCGCAACAACGACAAGACCTTCGTTAATCTCGCCTACAATCATCCCGTCTCTGGGCACCTTACCGGACCAGAAGTCATAACTGAGCAATGCGATCACCACCGAAAAGAAAACGATAAAATTTCGATATGCATGAAAGAAATTGTCAAATCTACCAGAATCCGAACCTCCAAACAAAATCGATACCTTTCTCCGCCGATTATTATATAGGCTTTGTTCGAGTTTGCAAAACAAGCATGGAATAACTTGAAAGCTCTGCTAAAGGAAGTCGCTTTTTTTCTTTTCTTGATTATTGTTTCCAGGAACGGTCCGAGCAGGGTTCGTGAAAGACGTGACGACAAGGAACGGAGAGACGGACATTCCGGCGAAGTATAGAAGGATCAACAATCGGAGTTCTCATTTCTCTGGCAAAATGACGAGCATTCGTGTATCGTGAGGTCGGGGAAGATGAACAGTATTTTTTCCCAGTTGTTCGTACAGGGGGGTCTTTGTCACTGACCCATAGTAAGGGGGTTCTTTGTAATTTACTCTAAAATATACTAACTAATATACCAACTTATTACTATGGCGCCATAAGAAAAGGAAGAAACATAAGTAATTTATTGTTTTAGAAAACTTGGTGATCCTAAAGGTTCAAACATGTCATGCTTAATTTCCTGTTAAACTCTTATGAGACTGAACAGCTGATCTTAACTTATCAGCATATGAAACAAAAATACTGCACTTAGAAATGAATATTGTTGATCTAAACCCTGGATGTTTGAACCGGACCAACAAAGGGTATAGTTTGGATTTCTAGCTAGTTCTCGTTCAGGGCACATTTACTTCATTGACAAACCACTTTTCCTCTTTTCCTCTTGAAGCCATTGATTGGTACCAATTTCCTAGAATTTATGTTTGTACAAACTGAGTGCGAAAATGATCTTGCATTTTCCTATTTTACTTGATCATTATCTTATTATCATAATCTTTGGTGAGCAGCTACTCATTTGTTCTGAGATGCAGGATAATAATCATAATATTATGTGTCCAACCCTTATCCCCTTCCAACCATTGTTTTTTGATTAATTTCATGATGAGGTTAAGCATTCAAACAAATTTTCCTATTTTTCTACTCAAAACAACAACATAGACCATACAGATTATTTGATTTCTTCCATCTATCTTTAAAACAGCCTTACTCAGTGACAATCTCTGATAGGCCTCCCAAACCAGCTCCTAAGCATCCATGGTGATGACCACCACATTCCTTCCTGAAGCTCTTGCAACAGGCACCCATCTCTCTCTTCTCTAAACTTAGACAAGCATGATGAGCTGCCCAATTCCCATGGCCTTCTGCCACTGGCATGATATCCTTCGCAGAACGACATATTGAATCAGAGTGACAACTGTGGGTCTTGCACCTCACAGAGTGCTCCCCATCATGCGAATGATCTGCGGCTTGCACATCTGACTTGTCTGTGTGGTGATGATGGTGATGGTCGTTGTCTCTGCAAGCAATTGGACTCGAATGGCTGTGACTAGCATCCTTCACGTGCTGGTGCCCTGCTTCTGAACAACTGAGACCATGGTTTGGCTTGGACCTACAAGAGACTGCAGTCGAACAGCTGGTAACTCCAAGCTTATCACCATTTGAGCTGTGGTTACCACATATCTTTACTTCAGTTGCATTTTGATGTATGCATATCATGTGTGAGTCCCCATCTTGTGCCACTGCCACCTCTCTGCAATCTCCATGACCCTTCTGTCTCTCAATCAAATCTCTACAGCTGCCCTCCTTACAGGAGGAGCCTACTGGCTGGAGGGACTTACATGGATGACTTGATGAAGCACATGACTGATCTTTCTGAGACTCACACAAGTTCTCTGCCACTTCATGTGAACAACATTCTTTGTGATGATGAACAGGAGCTGATGATGATGATGGATGGCTACACAAATGCTCATGTTGATGATTCTCACAGGAACCATGGTGGTGGTGATGCTTCTGGGCATGCTTCCCACAGGATGATGATGATGTTGAGCTTGAAGCGCTCTTCACTCGTAGAACGAGCATGCTGTTGAAGATGACAAGCAAGCAGGTACCAACATCAGCCACAATTGCACCCCAGAGAAGTGGGTGGCCAGCGAAGGCCAATGCAAGAATAGCAACCTTAGTGATGATCGACAATGCGATGTTCTCCACTATCTTCCGTTGGGTCTTTCTAGCAAGCCTGATAGCCTGTGGGATCTTACGCATATCGTTGGACATAAGTATTACGTGGCCTGTCTCCGTGGCAAGTGCAGAGCCTGAGATGCCCATTGAGATGCCGATGTCAGCCACTGCCAATGCCGGAGCATCGTTCACACCGTCACCGATCATCGCTGTTGCTCCTTCCTCCTTAAGGCCTTTGATAATTCTCACTTTGTCTTCGGGTAAGAGTTCGGCATGAACTACCTCTATAGCATGCCCTAGCTGCAACACCAAAAGTGGGAAATATAAGCCAACTGCTGCCTCAGCCTGAGGTTCTTAAGTTGCAGGATAATTAGGCTCTTAAGCAATGGCCTATACTAAGGCTATGTTTGGTTTGAAGGAAAACCAGGTACCATCCAGAAAGGATATCAGAGGTAAGCGTTGTAAGCCCTAGACCAGCCCAGCCCACATATTCTGGGGTTGGATCCTGAGAAGGGTCGTCCAATATATATCAGAACTCATATTTTAAGCCTAAAAACAGCCCAATTAGGTGGTATTTTAACTGGGTTTTTTGGCTCTTCATTTTTCTTAGGCTCAGTTTGGAAGGAGTACAAATACAAATTTGTAGAATGCGAAACCTTGTATTTTGTATGTATTTACACAGTACATATTTGTATTTGTACTCCTACCAAACTGAGCCTAAGTGGGGCGTAATGCTGACGTGGACTGGGGAATGAAAGATGGTGAATCCAATGGTCGTTATCGTATTGTAAAGCATTGGGCACAGGTCCAACCTTCAATTCTGTTCTGGCCCATGTAGGCCTTGGGCTAGCCTGGCCCAATGCTCACCACCCATTTAAGTGTTAATAGTTATAGAAATTTACTGAAGAAGGCATTTAGTTTCGTCTTCTGGGAGAAGTTCTTTTTGACTGTTAATACCTCTATAGTCTTTTCCATAATTCTTTATTTATATTACTATTATTATATTTGGTTTTCTCATGAGAAATTGCATTTTCTATGTTACGTCGATGGGCTTGATCATTATATCATCAGTTCTGGGTCAAATCAGAGCAGACCAACAAGTAAATACCACCCAGGCTGTGTTTGGATGAGGAAAGTGGATTTGGAATTGAATTCACACCCACTTCGTGACTTTTAGTCATTTCAAATTCCACTACAATGCGGAATATAAAGGGTACGTGGAAGTCCCAATTTTTGACCCAAACAGTAGAGGAATTTCCCTCCTCAATTCGACCAGTTCTACCCTGATCCAAAGGCAACCTTAGAAGTTAGAATTGAATGACCCAAGTAGAGCAATGTAATGTTGAATCCGTACGTGTAGCCCATGGGTCCTCTGATTCAACCCTTTGGTTGTCAGCTACAGGTTATAATTGATTGATCTCATCTAGAGTTAGATTAAATCTCAACTCATAACCCCTTTCTGACCATAATCTAACCAGTCATCATGTGAATCTAACCCACTTACAGTCCTAAGTATATATAGAAGTAGGGGTGTCGATTAGACTGGGTTTGGTCCAATCCGATTCAGTCCAATGTGCATTACAAATGGATCAGTTCTAATCCAATTCAATGAATAATTTGGACCCATCCAATTTATTCAAATTCATTTTAATTAGATTGGTTTTAATCCAAACCTGGTTCATTGATACCTATATTCTTATCTTATTTCAACGGACCAGATATTGGTTTAATTCAACCAAATCTAATATAAATTTATTACGGACGGACCAGGCCCAATCCAATCTAATAAATATTTTGGGCTGGATTGGTCTAATCTACTATATCCTTTTGGTCCGTCCAATCCGTCCAAATTGTTTTTGGACCGGATAGGATCCGGTCCAAAACCGGTCCATTGACACCCTTACATAAAAGGGGGCACTAGGAGCTACTCCCTGCACCTGATCTTGAGCATGAGTGGCTGCTACATAGGTATCTCCTGTAAGCATGGCTGTTTTAATGCCCAATGACTTCAACTGGTTGATGGCCTCTGCAGCTCCAGATCTACAGGCATCAGTTAGGCTGAATGATCCGACCAAAGTTGTTCCCAAGCATATATATCCAATTGTTGCTCCCTTACTGTCACCTTCTTCAGTGTCAACTGAAAATTTCTAGGCTTGAACTTGTAAGAAACTTAGAATTGTTGAAGAAAAATAGTAGAAAGCAAGAGAAATGATGCATGAAGCTACATGAATCAAAGGAGTTTCATGAATGAATGTTGATAAATGATTAGAATTCTAATAGAATAATCTTCCAAACTGAAGATTTAAAATTCATTAATTACCTGTTCTACACTCGGCTCTCATGGCAATTTTTCTATTCCCAACAAAGATATCCTTCCCATCAATTTGTCCATAGATCCCTTCCCCTGGGAAATTCTGAAACGCTGTAACGTTCTCTGGTTTAGGTTCAATGGAGTGTGAGCGTGCATAGTCGACAAGTGCCTCTGCCATTGGGTGGCTAGATTTGCTCTCAATGCTTGAAACCCTTCAAAATTGTCAATGGTTTATTTTAATTTGTGATGAATTGCAGAGTTTCAACAATAACATAAGATCTTTTGAATTAAATTGTTGCATTTAAGCTTCTTGAAATGATTCATCATCTAAACTGGAGACATCTCATGTATACCTCACCTCAATAGAAGAAAGTGGAGCTATTTTAGGATCCTGAACAAATGAACTAAGTTCTCATATAATCATCCTAGTAATTAGATGATAAATTAAATGCACACATTGAAATCCCAAAGAAACTACAATGCAAGTATTTCATTCCATGTGTTCTTCTATTACCACCAAAACAAATTATATTCCCAATCAAATTGCAATGCCCTTCCATCGTATTTTAAAGGGTAAATTGCTGAAATCTCTTCAGAAGTTTGATAATTACAATCACCTCCCATGAACTTTATGACACAGTTGCTGAAATCTCTTGTTAGAACTCTAATAAGATGCATGAAAATGTTCAAAATACTCATAAAGGGCAACATTGAAAAATGGAATAATTTCAGAAAAGTAATTGGAAGAATTTGGACTAGTGATTTATATGAAGAGAAAATTTGGAAAATAAACATTTTAGTTAAAAGTAATTGTATGGGTATTGTCAACATCTTCATGCCTCTTTTTAGAGGAATCTAATAAAGGGAATCTACTTGAAACTATGTCAGAAAGTTTAAGGGAGGTGATTGGACTTACCAAAGTTCAGAGGAAGTTTCAGCAAAAACCAAAAGCATCAGGGGAGGTTTCAGAAGTTTACCCTATTTTAAAATGCAGGATAACCCAATTCAACATTAAATCTTAATATAATCTCCAATAAGTATTAAATAATTTCCACGCATTTAGTCTAATTAATGGGGTTTTCATAGATATTGGTGCACCCCCCACCCCAAAAAAATGGTTCTGGATTTCTAATTTAGATAGCATATCAAACTTACCAGTAAAGTAGGGAGTTCAAGCTGACATCATGACAGATAGATTGGAAATCTGTCACCACGAATTCTCCTCTTGTAATTGTTCCTGTCTTATCGAAGGCAATGACCTTAATCTTAGCTAGGGTTTCAAGAAAATCTCCCCCCTTGAATAGAAGTCCAGATGAAGCAGCTTTTGTAAAAGCATAGTAAATAGCAACTGGTGTAGAGAGGATAAGTGCACATGGGCATGCACTTACCAGAATAACTAGCCCCAAGTAAATCCAGTGCTTCAGGTTATGTACTCTTAATGCAGTTGGAACCACCACAATCCCAATGGATGCCAATATCACAACTGCAACGAAAACCCAGAAAGAGATTTAGGAAGGAAGACCAATTTAATTTGGATGTTAACTGAGTAGTGAATTATGCTGACAGAAGACCAACCTGGTGTGTAGTACTTGGCACAACTATCAATCATTCTCTGTGTCTTGGATTTGTTCTTCTGGGCATCTTCTACTAGTTTTGCCATTTTAGCTACTACACAATTCTCGGCCAAGGCAGTGGTTTTCACACTAATGTAACCTACAAAAAGGAAAGAAAAAGAGCTCTAAAATCTGATAAGTAAAGGTGTATCACAATCTCCATTCTCTTGGCTTGAGAGTTGAGAGGCCATACATTAGATAAGAAATGAGAACAGAAATAATTACCATTTAGGTTTATAGAACCAGCCCATACATTAGATTGGATTTGCTTGGCAACAGGAAAGGACTCCCCTGTTAAAGTCTTCTCATCTACTTCACAATTCCCTTCAACAACAATTCCATCTATGGGGATTACTTCCCCAGCCTTCACAGCAATGACTGTATTCAGCTTCACATCTTTAGCATCAAGTACAAGCCCTGTTTCAGCTAAGACGGCTGTCTGAGGAGTCATGTTCATCAAACCCGACATGGATGCATTAGCCTGTATTAATGAAATCACTTGATTAGTATGTATGGAAAGCCCAAAAGGGCATTTGTGTCTTTTTCAAATGTCACTTAATAATTGGATAACAGCTAGTTAATGGTAGGTACAGGATTGTCACATTTTAAAAATTTGGGCACTGAATTGTCGTATTTTAAAATTCAGGGACCAAAATAACATTAGGCCCAAAGTACAGGATACTAATCAGGAATTTTCCCTAACTTTTACAACTAATATTAGCCATTCAAAGTTTTAAGTATTAATAGAAAACAGAAGAGGTCTTATTATTATTTTTTCTTCGACCGAGATATATGCCAAGGGCTTTTGTTTGGGTGAAAACATTTTTAAGGTTGAAAAGGACAATTTAGAGACCGTGTTGATCTCAATGGATCCAAATGGAAGAATGGATGTGTGCATTTTGAGTGAGAGAAAGTGAGACTAAACCTTGTGACTTGCTCTTGATTCAAGCCACTCTGCAAAGGTGAACAGGAACACAATAAAACCTGCCTCCCCGTAATCTCCCAATCCAATTGCTCCACCCACTGCACATAATTAAAATCTGAATTAGAATCATTTTTTTATAAAAGCAAACAAATATCAATTATCAAGTATTATTATTATTATTATTATTATTATTATTATTATTATTATTATTATTATTATTCGGTTAAATAACATATTACTACCCTGTAATTTGGGGGATAGTGGTAATTGTCCCCTTAAACTTTCAGATTCCAACAAAGACCCCTCTCCCTTAAGTTGAGTGATGGAAGAAGTTAATTCATCAAAATACACACTCAAGAATCATATGGGCAAAGGACATAATTTGAAAATGACCAAAATAGGCAAGTTAAATCACTGCTTCTCTTTCAAAAAAGTGCTAGATGGAAGTTTGTTAATTTTAGGGTAAATTGCTGAAATCTCCCCTGAGCTTTCTCATACAATTGCAAGTAGACCTTGGGTAGAATCTTCTAAAAATAGGCATGAAAATGTCCAAAATACCTATGTAATTACTTTTAATAAAAATGTTTATTTTCCAAATTTTCTCTTTCTATTAATCACTACCCCAAACCCTTCAAATAATTTTTTTTTCTGAAATTGATTTATTTTTTCAAATTTTTCCTTCATACCAATCACTCAAAGGTAAAGCTGCAATTTTAAATTCTCTTGTTTTTGCTATTCATAATGTTTGTTTTATTTTATTTTTTTGTTCTATAGAAACTAGCCTCAATAGGAACTACATAGATATTTTGGACATTTTCATAACTATTTCTAGAAAATTCTACCAAAGTAGGTCTATTTGCAACTGTATGAAAAAGTTCAGTGGAGGTGATTGCAATTATTAAACTTCAGGGGAGGTTTCAACAATTTACCCTTACTTTTGTGTACATTTTGCATTTTGCAACCAAGAAAAAAATCTAGAATTACAATAAACATAACATGCAATTAATATCAACTAACAAGTAACAAATGGAGATTGAAAAAAGTAGTTAAACTGATTCTCAACACCTGTTTAGAATATCATTAAAAAAGGGTTGTTTAGAGATTTAGAAATGTTTAAACAATCACATGAGAATCTTCTTCAAATGGATGAGTCTTTATTATTATTATTATTATTATTGCAGCCCAACAATTGGTTACCGAGAAAAGACTAATGAAAAACAAACTGCAAGTTGGGTTCCAAATAAGAAACCATGCACTATTTTAAGCTATGTTTGGTTTGAAGGAAAAGTAGGGAAAAGAAGAGAAAGGTAAAGCACCTATACAAGGTTTGCAAAGGTTTCCTTTCCCTACTTTTTTCTTCAAACCAAACACACCATTAACGTTAACGGGTTGGTTTGGCTGGTTTACTCAAGCAACTGTGTTGTCCCAAATGTACTACTGCGTTTTGTTAGTGTGTACTTCATTCTACATATTGGTTGTACTAAACCAAACCCTTTCCCTCATATAATTTATTTTAATTATGAGTTTAGTGCTTGCAATGGAACTTTTAGAAAGCCCAAGCACCAGTTAAAGTATAGGAACCTATATTGAGTTGATGTAAACGGCATAATCTTTTGAGCTTTCTGGAAAACATTAATGAAAGCTGCTTTTCTTAAAAGTTTCATCAGTCATCATCTTGCTTAATAATGGCTATATTATAACCTGATGAAGCAGGGAAAACAAACATTTCAAAGCAGTTGCAGAGATCTCTAGCTTTTCCGTATGATCTCTCCTACTTTCAGCCCCGCGGAGAGGAGAGAGAGAATAGGAGCTCAACAAACTTACTTAATCATGGATTCATGATTCACGTTACCCATATGGTCTACCTAGATTTTGATTCTTCATTCCCTTCCTAAACAAGAAAGAGAGAGAGAATGTGTTCTCAGCGGCTGCTAAGAGAGATTCTCAAGTAAGAATATGCTTTCTGAATCATTTTAATTTTCTCTCTCGCCATCAGAATATTGTCAAATATCAAATTAAGTTTTATATTAGTAATCTCAATATTAATTAGCTTATCCAAAGAACAGCTAGACCATTTCTTTTTTTTGGTAGGAAAATAAAAGCTAATTAATTGCTCTGGACAAAAGCAATAATAACGCCACAGAGTTGTATTGAAAACAGTGTCGAGTTGAACGATTATTTGACAGAGTAATTAAGAATGATTGAATGAATACCTGCAAGTAACACAAGAATGTTGGTATCAAGGGTGAGTCGACGTATAGCAGCGACGCTTCTCATCACAATGGGAGGGAGGCCGACTAGAACTGCTCCTAGAGCTAACCAGTGAAGTGGGTGGAAAAGTGACTTAAAGAAAGATAAACACAGCAAAATGAAACAGCCCATTGTATATGGACTCGGCCATTTTCGTCCGCTTTTTTCTTCACCATATCCACGTATGTTTGCTTCCAGCCTCGCTTGGTTTAGAGCCTTAACTGAAAATAGATCAAAACACAAGAGAGAGAGAGAGAGAGTAGGGACATTAGTCTCTTGAATGGTCCTATACAAGGATGCTGTAAATTATAAAAATGGAGGAGTCTTTTGGATCATGAAAATGAAGTTGAGCGGCTTTTTAATAATTGGGCCACTGAAAAGAATGTGTTTTACCTATTTGAATCTGAGAAATGAGAAGGGTATCATGGACGACGATTACTGTCCTAGAAGGAACAATCACTGAGACTTCCTTGATTCCATCAAGCGGCTTAAGAATCTTTTCAACGAGGGGGATTTCAGATGTGCAGCAAATACCCAGCACATCAAAGTAGCTTTTCTGGATGTCTATTGCTGCCTTGTCCTTATTGCTACTGCCCATGTCCATCTGGAGAGAGATAGAATCTTAGCAAGATGATATTGAAGAAGTGAGATTAGAGTTAATGAGTGTAGTTTAACTAAATGGGTAGTATCAGACTTTCATTCAAAAACTCTCAAATTCAACACATGCATACATGGGGGATGGGGGTAGAGAGAGAGAGAGAGAGAGAGAGAGAGTCTTAGAAAGAAGCAGAAAAGCTGACAAGATGATATATATTGAAGAATCAAATAGAACCAGCAGAGTTGATTATTGAAACAAGCAGAAGAAAGAGATGAATGGATCAATTGAAATCAGCATAAGATAACGATAAGAAAAATCACAACCAAATTAAGAGGCAAATGTAAACTAACCAGGAGGATTTTTGATACAGCAAATAAACCAGAAGCGTTGAAACACTACTGTTAGAATTAATCTTCAAGGAGGAGTTCTGCCCAGAGGTGGAAACCAGCTGCAAGTCTTAATATGTAAGGATAGCTGACATCATATATGTCAAGAACCAATTATGAACTCCTGAGACAAAGGAACTTCAGGCGATATATATGGAGTCCTGAAAACTTAAGAAGATCTAGACAAGCTTGAGAGGCTTTAAGAAGGCAATGCAGCTATGATAGGGAGAGGGGACAGATATAAGGAATAGAACAAATTAGAGGAGTTGCTTAAGATTTCCTGTGTGGGAATAATTGCCTACCTTTCTCTCTTCGAAGATTAAAGAAAATGGGGAGCCACTAATATAGGAGAGAATGGAATCCACACAATCAAGCACTCTGAGTATATATTCCGATGAAAAAGATTTGCTTATGCGGTCTTAAAATAACTACACAACTCCTTGATATTCACTTGTAACTGCCTTGCTTTTATCATTAACTAATTTTATATACCTCTCTCTCTCTTCCTCACTCAATAATCGCTACAGTTACAAATATAGCTCCTTCCATTTTTGTATTTATATAAAGCATTCATATTGAATCCGAGAAGAAAACAAATTAAAATGATGTGATTAATAAAAAAAAAGAAAAAGGTTCTTGAAATGAAGAAGAAAGAAGGGCAAGTAGCTAGTTTTCTAACTTCCCAATTTTTTTTGTTTTTTTGCTCTTATGTATTTCTTGAACTTTTTCTCTTTTTTAACTTTTTACTGCACAACACCTATGAAGAGTACAAAATTATGGTTTTCTTTTTTTTTTTTTTTTTTTTTNGGTGGGGGGGGCATTAATTGAAATTCTTTTTCAAATATTAATTTTTATTTAAAAAAAAGTGAGTAAAGAAAACAAATAACAACCAAGTACACTACTAATTGTTTATACACTTTCCTTTTTTTTTCCCTGTTTCTAACAAAGATATATTTGTATTTAGCTTTGGCTCCTAGTTTTGTTTCGAGGTAAAATCCTATGCCCCTTCTTTCTTATCCTTGATAAGACTTTTCCTTTTTTTATTTAAAAAAAAAGTAAAGATATACTATTTAATTAAAAAGAAATCGAAAGAAAGTAAAAAAACAGATTCATGATTCTTAATTAATTCGACTTCTTTATTTTGGAGTTGGAAGATAAGGAGTTAGTTTTTGTTGGATATGATCAGCCTCTGAATAAAGATCACAGCACTTGTGATATATATATAATAGTAGGAGGGGATGATACATGTAAGTGTAAAGAATGTTTGGTACTATACCACTTATCCTTAAAGAATATCTATCTTTACCCAAATTTAACCATCAGAACCGACCCGGTGGTTGGACCACTAAACCAATGAAAAGTGAGCATTATTCTGGGTCCCAATTCTTTTACGGGTTAGCTGATCGATCTGATCAACGGTTAAGACATCCAACTGTGGTGCAAGAATGGAAAGGGAAACCATAAAAAGCCAGCCTTTGTGAGTTTCAGCACTAAACAAGGAGTATATTTAGCTGTTTGTTCTTTGGGCTTTTCTCACATGACTAAGGCAACGTTGAGGAACAGTTGGGTACGTTTCACTGCCGGCTTTCACTTTGGAGCTAGCTTTTCCTCACGCTTTATATGTGAATATGGAACTTCTCTCTCTCTTTCTTTTAAAAATTCCAAACAGTTTGCTCTGGAGCTATAAACGTAAAAGGCTAGCTTGGAGTTGGAGCTAACTGGCTTTCCTCACGCTTTATATGTGAATAGGTTGTAAGAAGCTAGCTCCTTAATGGCTACAATTGAAGTTGGATACGTGGGTTGATTATTGTACATTAGTAATTCATTTCAACCACTTCAGCTATATTAGATCCCGTTTGACACGTCTTTTGTGTGGGTTGTCGGCTTTTTAGAAGCCCGATAGCCTGTATTTTAGTCTTTTTCCATTTGGTTGGGAAAAGATCTAGCCGCAGCCTCGAAAAGATGCGAAAAAATCATTTCGGGCTATTTTCGGAAAGTTTCAAATGGAACTTTTCTCCTTTTTTCAATTCATCTTCACGTAAACAAATACACCTTAACTAAACGGTCTTCAAATTATTAAGATCTTGATGCAAAAATTTACATCATCTTTTGACTGTCAAAACTTCCAGAAGATATTTCAAAAAAAAAAAAACTTATCAAACGGCCCTTTAATTTGTCTAAAAACTAATTAAGTAGACTTTATATGAGCAGTATTGGTTCTAATTAAGCAAGTTGGTTGAGAATAAAACTTAGAATATATGATTTCAAATTCCAACATAGTACATGAATATATACTATGGATGGAAAGTTCATCTAAGATTATTAGGTGGAATATCCATCCTATGTTGAACCCCTGATCTGAAAATCCAACATAAGATACGGTTCCCCTCACCTAGAAATTACATAACCATATATAAAATATAGTGCCTATGTAGGTATGCTACATTACCAGCTAGAACCATTCAAGCCATACAATGGGAAAAGGGAGAAAAAAAATATTCTATTTTCCAGGGCACAGAATTAAATGAATTTCTGAAGGGCTCAAAAAGTTTAATCTAATTTTCTCCATTTTTGTTTTAGTGAGTCCAAATCCTATGCAGTCCACCTCAACAAGATTCATGGTACTGGGCCAATCAGTTTTTGCCACATCATTTAAATGTCTCTTCACCTCAACTGGTCACAACTGCAAGGGGATCTCTCCTTTTATCCACGAGAAGAAATGTTATCCCCAAATCCACACTATTCATCTCAGAACTAAATTGAACTTTAGGTCAGAGCTAATGGCTTTTTCTCAGGTTAGACATGCAATTTGCTCATGAACCACTTGAACAAGATTTGTTCATTATGAAAAAAAAAAAAAAAAACAAAGAAAAGAAAAGAAAAACTTGCCACCTGAGTAGATGATGGTTGGCTTTAAACAGAAAATAGCCACCTAACTAGGGACTGGATGGATTTGGTCCAATCCAATCCTGTCCATTGTGAGTCCATTATAAATGGATCAGGTCCAGTCCAATCCAATAAATGTTTTAGACCAATTTGGACCCGTTCAATTCAATGTCTAGACCATCCAATTTGTTCAAATTCATTTTGATTTAAATTGGTTTCAACTCAAACCTGACCCATTAACCAGATATTGGCTTAATCCAACCCAATTTAATATAAATTTGTTATAGACAGATCAGGTCCAATCCAATCTAATAAATGTTTTGGACCGAATTGATCCAATCCAATATATCTTATTGGTCCATCCAATCTATCAAAATTGATTTTGGACTGGACGGGGTCCAATCCCAAACCGGTCTATTGACACCCACCTAACTAGCAGCATATAGAAGTTAGTCCTATTACCTAAACTCGCCTAGTATATTGTAACTTGTAAGTTCATCCCAAATCCATTTTAAGCTGGTAGCCTTCTAATAAACAGAAGTAAAAAAAATCTTGAGCTGGTACCTAACACACGAATGGTAAATATCTTACGTCCATGTGGCAGCTAAATATGGAGGTGGCACGACTTTTAGTTGTTTATTATTTCATTCTCTTATACGTGGTACACAGGAAATCTCGATTTTGAGAAAATGACAAGTTTGAAAGAGAGAGAAACCAGCTGACTTCTTTTATTTAACAAAAATTCCTTTCTTTAATTTTGTTAATTTATGGACGTCTTAAGCTCTCCTTGGAATATCAACTTTTCATGTTTCAGGATAACTGGAAAATCAGGATATAATTTCAGGCTAATTGGAAAGAAAATCAAGGATCCAATGATCCTATATAAAAGTTTAATTTGTATAGATGTAATTTAAGATAATTGTATAGATAAAATAATGAAAATACCTTTATACTTCTTCCTACAAAACTCATAATAAGAAAATCCATCCCTTATCAACTAAAAGATATTTAATTAGCTAGAAGAATTAAAGTGATACCAATATGTCTTTGTTTTATATCTTATATTTTTAAGCCCATTCTGCTTAGTATTTTGGTAGGTTATAGAAAAAATTAGCCCACAAATCAATAGGAACATATGGTTCATTTACTATATATATATATATATATATTTGGCCAAGCATCATTTTCTTTGTTTTTTTAATTATAATAAATAGAAACATGTTTCATGGTACTAGTGTCATAAAAGCACTATAGCATGTAATTATACATATTGGAGATATAAATGTTGTACAACTATATAAAAAAGATATACATTTATACTATATACAAAAGTGCGAATGGAGAGTGGAATTTTTTTTTACTAACATTACCCTCTATTTATTTGTTTGAGAAAGGGTATAAAAGTCATTTTATTATAACTTTAATGCCAACTTTTATGACTACTAAATGCCCATATTGTTTATTTATTTCATCTCTTATTGTAATGGTTGAAAATGACTTTTTTTTTTATTTAAAGTTTTTTCTTTACTCAAATATGTAATGAAGTTGTCTAAGATTAAATATCCAAATTTGATGTAAAATCCAATAGATTGATGTGACTAGATCTAATTGGAATGATTAATTTAGTGTTTTGCATTTATATAAATTTATTTTATATGCATAAGTTATAACTTATCTTTCTTTTTTCAATACGTAATGAAATTATTATTATTATTATTATTATTATTATTATTATTATTATTATTATAGGTAGGTGCTTACATGTATTATTATAAGGACATTGAGATTCTATTTACATCAAAGCTGAGTAGCTATCTCACCACCAATTTGAGGCTATTTACTTAAGAGTGTGACTATGATAATTGCTTTTCTATTTATGTGAAATGCTAATGATGTTTATTGACTTTTCAATAGAAACTAACAATGCTAATTGTTTTTCTATTTGTTGTATTAATATTAAAATATATGACAACAAACAAAATATTAATGTTGTAAAAATTAAAACATGAGATTCTTTTACATGTGTAAGTTCTATTAGAAAACCATGATAGACAATAATATACATAAAAAGTATGTCTCTATCAAATAGAAAAGATCATTAGATAGTAGTATTAAATAAAAATTTTCTTTTCTCAAAAATATTAAAAAAAAGATATAAGAAACCATGATGCCCAAAAAATATTAAGAAAATGTCTATCAAAACATAAGAAATGAATGAATATTAGGTATCAGAAAATCATTAAAAGATTGAATTTTCCAATAGTAAAAGAATATAAAAGGTAGATTGATCCAAAGATTTGGTTTTCCAAAAAATATTAAAAGAATATGTTGAGATATTTAGAAAATTACTATAACAATATATTTTATATATGCCTTTTCAACATTAAAACAATATTAGAAAAAACAAATGAGAATAAAAGAATAGCCTAATGCATGTAACGAACACAAATGAAGATTTTATTTGTA